TATATATATATATATGTATATGTATATATATATATATATATATGTATATGAATGTATAATTATATGATACAATGGATAATCTACATCTATGTAGCAACGTTGACCTATAGAGAGATTGTCCCATATATATGTATAGATGTCAGTACTCTGCGTACTGCATAAAATATTTTTTAAAATGTTACGCCAACAGTCTACACTTTCATATACAGTATATACGCTGGGGCCTATTCACTAGAATAGCAACTACTTGCCAGTAGATTCACTTATTGATGCGGATTGATCTCGATAAGAAGACACAAATATATATGATAGCGACAATATACACATGACGAAGTATGCTACATCCCCTACAACATCCTGGCTACCTCGATCTCACACCATTAGCGGTACTTGGGATGTGCTTCTTTTGAATTCGTATTTCTACTATTTCACGCAGGGAACAGGACCGTCCAGTTCACACTCCAAGAGTCCACAGTTCACAACTTTCCAACCCCATCGAGTCACTGATGCCGTACGCGTTATATTTATTTTCAAAATTTCGTTCGCAACAGAAATTTTTTTTTTTGAATGCTATTTACATACATCTTGATTGTAAGGTTTTAGGGTATTATGCTTGGGTTTCGATCGTAGCCTCTGGGACAGTGGTAATATTGCCCTACGGGTGCTCCATATACCATAAATTGTTTATGGTACTAATCCTACCAGCAGAGAAATTACATTTTCTGATTATGTAGTCATAACATGAAGTTCAAATTGCCTTGAAGCCCCGAGACTCTGTCGAAAACATATAACGCTTTGTACATTTTTAAATAATCGGCGTTTTGTACTCTTAAGAGAAACTCCCCAGTGTTTTGTGTTTACTGTGATCATACTCATAAATAAATACTTCGTAGAGTTAGACTAAAGACGCAGAAATACACACAGCGCAACACATATGCACAACGGACTATCAGCTCTCTGTCTTCCGCTATAATAAACAGAGAGCTACTGTCTGCTGATTGACACGATGACCGGGTACATTAACATCCAGTTGATTGAATAATCAGGTGGGTACTTTCCTACGGTTCATTTGTGGTGTCCTACTTGTGGTCGGCTCTCGTGTTTATACGCTTTATATCGCACGCGTGCGTGAGAAATCAGACATGTAGAGATGAATTTGTTAATGTGATCATTTATTTGTGTACTAAACTTGATGGAATGCCGAATGGGTAGTATATCATTTGCTCGCCATACTAACAAGGTAAGTGATCTAGATCAGTGAGTGTGTACTCGCAAGAGTGTTCCGGTCTCATGTGTGTATTTCGGATATTTCTCGCATAGATATCATTTGTTTTAAAACACCATTTTATATATATATATATATATATATACGTAATATTAACATCATACATATATGCCTATATGTCTATATCATTTCTACAAATAATTGTGAATAAACATATTTATGTGAATATGCATATATAGTTTTGCAAATTTATATTTTATGGTTATTCTTCATATGTACATATGTATTGTATAGCCATATATACACACACACATATATGTATATATATATATATATATAAATGTGTGTGTGTGTGTCTGTTTCTGTGTCTCGCTGCGTGTTATTTGTTTTCTCTATACGTCTGTATGAATATTTATTTATACGTATATGTATTGTATATCCACACACACACA